GGTGGGAACATGCGCCCTGATTTTCTTTATCGATTGTTGTCGAATAATGTTTCAGCATTCAAATTAACGCGTGGTAGAAGAATTCGCGATTTACATAAATTCAATTATTTCCTTATTTGTTAGCCTAATATTTTTCCGTGTACTCAGTTATGTCGAAGCGTCAGTACAAGAAGGTCATGGAATTTTGTAAATAGGGACTGGTGCACTCATATCGGTAAAATATAAGTGAAGATTATTATTAGAGACGGAAAATCCGGAGGGGCGATAGGGGGTAACGCATTTTATATTGTGTATGGGGCGATGAATGCTTTGATGGCGGGACCCATCAACTTTTAGGACAACTATATTGCATGGTCATAAACATGACTGGTCACAACTATTATATACAACATTATGAGAAAAGGGTAATACACAGTTTTGCTAGGCAAGTCTTAGGAAATCAAAATTTGTTTTTAAGAAGGTTCTAATACTGAATTGAAAGTCGAAAAATCGGAGCAGTTATTTTTTATAGCAGTGTTATTATTGGTGAGGATGGCTTTGCTTAGGCGACGTACAAGCCAATATTGGGTACTATTGTAGCGTGTATACCAGGTTAGGTTTAGATCTTTTTTTATTACGATTTTCCTTATTTTAGTTCTATTACGAGTTCGGGGACTGTCTGTGTTAAAGACAAGTGAATATATCCCCTGCCCGTAGGTTTCAGTCCCTTTACACAACTCGATGTAAAGTAAGCGAACAAAATTAGTTACCTCCATACTGGTACACACACTTCTGGAGCGCCCATTATTACACATCAGATAGCTGCGATATTTACTGCTATTTGAATTATTATTTTTAGCTACTACAATTTGATAACAAGGTCACGAGCTAGCAATGTGTGAATTAACTTGGTGATTTAGGTTTATTTCGATATAAACGCCAGTTATTAGGATTTACTATAAATACGAGAATTTTTACCAAACCGTTCGCGTGCAACGTTTGAGATTATGGCATGCCGTAAGGTGCACGCATACCCCGTCTGGGACTGACTGGGTAAAGGGACTGAAACCTATGAACAGGGGATATTCACTTGGCTAACACAGACAGTCCCCGAACTCGTAATAAAACTAAAATAAGGAAATTTGGAATAAAATTATGGCCTAACCCTAAACTGTTACACATACTTCGGGAGTACCAATTTGTTCATATCGATGATATGGTTGTAAATAGTATTAATCTTGACTGGAGGATGAATTATTCAATGGTCGCTTTATTATTCTACTTATTTAAGTTGTCTCGACTTGCTTAAAGCCTGTAATGATGAGTGTTCCACCTGTCTTAAACCCGATTAGTAACATTACTTGCTTTTTTTCTTCGTTTTTCATTCGAAGTATGAGAGTAAAGACTTATGAGTGAGTTGATGGCACACGTCGGTATCTGAGGCAAAGTTTGATTTCATGTCTTGGTGTAGTGAATGTTCTAATCGAGCTAGCGGTGTGACGCATCGTGCTTCTGATTACCCTGCGTTGGTTCGCAGGTTCGAATCCCGTGGAAGATAATTATGTGCGGGAGGATTGCAGGACTCGTCGCCGCAATAGGGTGGTTCACGTTACCGCTGGTCGGTTACGGCCCTTCATCCATCATCAAGGCACCACCAACAACAGCAAGAGCTAATGAATGTCTCCCCTAGCGTCAATTTCCTTGGGTATCTCCGTTACAATGATGAATCAGCAATATGTCAACGATAACGTAACAATGACATTTTCTGCAGTCGCTCAAACACTTCTTTCACTCAGATAGGTAATCAATCATGTTAATAAACATTGGCTCGTTCTCGCGGTGCTGTGGGTCATTTGTCAGCTTTCAATTGTGTTTCCAAAAATTAGTGTGAATCAAATAATTTAATTGTAATTATGTCCTCGAGAAATTTTCTTTAGTTACAATAATCAAAAATCAATCCCAGAAAAGCTGCGATAGACTATGTTAAAATTAGCTATTAGTACCTATAATCGACACGCGGTTGAATATTTCAATAAAAATGACGGTTTTAAACATGCAAACCAGTTTATTAACGTCGACCCTCCAAAATATTTTTAAAAAAAGTATCAAAAATTTTGCTATAGTGAAGCAAAGGGAGAATTTTTCCGGGTTCGAAGGTCGGGATAACGTCCATCGCATTCAGTAGTTACTACAAACGCAAGTTGAACGCTCTCATACATCACTTAGACACGACGCTATTACACATAAGAGGCAGGAATTGAAGATTCCAATGATATTATAAATCATCAGTCCAATGAATCATTTTTAAATAAACTTTTCATAGTTTAATTTTACCTACTGCTATCATTTGTGACGCATAACCTATATACAACCGTGAATTTTGTCTGCGTAGGAAGAATTTTATGCGCGTGTTTTCATTGAAATAACGTAAGATTTATTACCTCGCAATATGCCTTTTTTCAGCCAGGCAGGAAAAGACTTTGTCACTTTATTGTAGTAGGGCTGACCCAGACACATTTGAATTAAGATAGAGTCAGGTTCCGAATAAACAGAAATCTGAGGGCAAAAATATTATTAGAATTTCTTATGCATAAATGTAAATGACTGACTCTTCGACAAAAAACCAATCTGATATTTGGATAGAGATGAGGACTTGTTTTGAATAAGCAAAACTCTGAGAGCTCCCTTATCTTAGTAGACTTTCCTGTATATAAATAGAAAAAGACTATTCGACAAGAGGCTAATCTGACAAAAGTCAAACATCGCGGGTCACTATTTTTTATCAGGACTTATTGAGAACCAAAACAAGTGAATTGTATGAAATTGATTTAAATTTATCAGAAAACGCTTTAAAATTGACTCATGTATTGCCGAGTTGCGGAAAAAGGCAGTCTAAATCAGGCCTGCGTGGAGTAAAATAATACATTGACGTGGACTCAGAGTCAAAGATAAAAATGACGGTGCTCCCGTAGTATGTGCACCAACATGGCGCACAACCTGAACATAGTATGTGTACCAGGTTAGGGGTCAGGTTGTGCGTCATCTTGGTGCACATACTACGGGAGCGCCAAAATGACTTCAGCTCGAGATAAATTTCTTTTAAAATGCTTCAAAATTGACTCATTTTGTGCCTAGTCGCAGAAAAAAAGCAGTGTTTCGCCTAAGTCAGGCTTGCGTCGACTCAGAGTCAAAGATGAAAAACATGACAGCTCAAGATTGATTCGAGTCGAATCGCGTGAAGCGACGCTGATATAAATTTTAACTTGCACTGATCAACTCTCATCAGATAAGTTATTTTCGACATTTTTTTTGCTTTTGAGAGGAAGAAGGCCTGTTATTGGAATGACAAATGTCTCGTCACAACTAATGCAAAGACCCCATAAACCGAAGTGGGCAAAGTTTTTGAGCCAGGGGCCAAAAATTTTGACAACCTAGGCTGGCGGGCCATGTAAGTGTGGCCTGGAAATTTACATTTTATGAAGAATATTTACAGTGGTACAAAAGCAAATTTTTTTTAAATTTAATCGCAATTTCAACAAATTTCTCAAGCTGGTTTTTAGCTAAAACATCAAAATTTGGTTTTAGCTTGGTTTTGGCAGCATCAGGCGGGCCAAATTGAATTACCCAGCGGGCCGGATTTGACCCGCAGGCCATAGTTTGCTCATGTCAGCCATAAAACTTCGTTCAACGGCGATGAGCTTGCCTAGCAGTTTTAAAGCGTCAGATTTAATCGTGTACGCATCGCAGTTTATCAGGTTTTTGGAAGCGTAATTCGAGTTCTGATAATAATGGTATATTCTGTAAGCCAGGATTTCTGAAGAAGCAGTCTGACTTATTTTGCTGGGATGCGAGCCTGCCTTTTAAATTCATCGCATTCAGAAGTCTGACTGGAAGTCAAAATTTTAAAATGATCTAAATCAGAATGTCGAAAGGTTTCATGAGCAAAATGTTGTTCCGTAGCCAAAAGTCGTAGTCCGAGTCGATTTTTTGATTCGAAACCGGTGTTAATATATTTATTGACAGTCTGAGATGAGCGACGTAGTTTTTGACGACCCTGCGCTACTCAAATTTAGGCGCTCCAGAAGTGTGTGTACCAATATGAAAGTAATTAATTTTTTTCGCCTACTTTACATTAAGTTGTGTAAAGGGACTGAAACCTATGCACATGGGGTATATTCAATTGTGAGATTCAAGTTTTTTGTCAGCCGGTTCCTGCACAAAAGGTATATTTTTCAGCCGGTTCTGTTACAAACAGAACATTGACAGTAACCAGTAATGCTAACCGGTTCGCTGATCTCATAAAATTCCGTGAGACGGTTCTATAGAACCGGTGCGAACCGGCTGAATCCCACCACTGCATGGATATATTCACTTGGCTAACACAGACAGTTCACGAACTCGTAATAGAACTAATATAAGGAAGATCGTACGTAATAAACTTATGTCCTAACTTGGCACACACACCCCGGGAGTACCCAAATTAATTACTTGACACTTGTGAAAAATTCAATTCAACGCTTTCACCAATTTTTATTTGAATTTTACTCAAATAGTCTTGCATTTGGGTGACTCATATGCAGATGACTTTCACCGAATTTTCCACCAAACCAACTATTTTGACTGGAGCATGACGTTCCGGTGAATTGACAGCAACTCTGTCGAAAATCGAGGCTCTTCCTTTTCTAGCGCATGTTAAATTTAGGTACTCCCGAAGTATGTGAACCAAGATGGCGGACACCGGAACGTAGTATGTGTACCAGGTTAAGGTTAGACCATAATTTTATTCTCATTTTCCTTATTTTAGTTCTATTACGAGTTCGAGGACTAGTAAAGTGACTCCCGTAGTATTTGTGCCTGATATTATGGTCTAACCCTAACCTGGTACACATGCTATGTCCCGGTGTCCGCCATCTTGGTTCACATACTAACTAAATTTTCACCAAAACGATCGACTAAAAGTTAGTACTTTTAACCGTTGCGCGTCTCGCTTATGTGAGCATAATATATATCATTTTTTGCACAGGAAGTGTAAGAATAAATTTGAAAACCTAATAAAGTACTAAAGAACAAAAGCCTGCTGTAAAATAGCATCTGAGCATGAATCAAACAACAGTATCGGATTTTGACGTATCAAGCACAGTTAGGTATGCTATAATTAAGAATAATTTTTTTATTTGCTAGTTTGTCTAACGACCATAGTAAAATAGACTATATAGATTGGCGCACTATACAGTGAGTCAGAAATGCATATCCGATGACCAAAAACATTGGTCAGCCATTACCGTTTTCTCAACAACGGTTAAACCTCGGTCAAACGAAGTTTACCAATTCCTTGAATATTTCAGATATGAATCCTCCACCTTCAACGATACGAATGATAAAGTTGTGCCCTTTCTTCCTTTTAATGACGTCATCGTGGCCGTCGTTGCCACATTTCTAATACTTTTCCTAATTCTTGGATTCTTTGGAAATCTTCTGACGATACTGGTCATCGTTAAGTCAACGAAACTCAGGCAAGTATGAATGCCCTAACGAATCTTACGTTATCTTACGTTACTTTGCGTTACCTTACGTTACGTTACCTTGCGTTACATTATATGTTATCTTACGTTACATTATACGTTACCTTATACGTTACTTTACGTTAACTTACGTTACTTTACGTTGCGTTACCTTGCGTTACCTTACGTTACGTTACCTCGCGTTACAATTTATGTTATCTTACGTTACATTATACGTCACCTTACGTTACCTTATACGTCACCTGACGAACCTTACGTTATCTCACGTTACCTCACGTTACCTTAAGTTACCTTACGTTACGTACAGTTAGGTAGAAGTGGTTTCTTATTCATGGCCTTATTCGAATCGAAATTCCTAAATAATCGTATTACATAAAATAACTATTATATTGCATGCGAGGCTCAAATATCTTCCGGATATTTTTATTACCACATATCCATCCACATATCAAATTTCATTTTTTTCCTGAAGTTACTAAGTCAAGAGAAAGAGATCAAATAAGCAAGATCAAATCTAACAGTTGTTTTAGTTAGCTCCACAAAATTGTCCTTGTGGGGCGCGCTCTACCGTTTAAGAACCATTGCGTTAAAGCGTTAGACTCCACTATGGTTACTCATCTCGGGTTGAAATACCATTTCCAACATCTCAACCAGGATGCAATAAATTCGAAAGGCGGTGCCGGTCCTTTCGAACCATAGTGAATCTATATTTGGCATCGGCTGCTTGTGGGGAGCCTTGTTTAGAGCGAACGGCGTGTAAATAAGTCTTATCAAAAAATAAAATTTGAAAATTAACAATAGTTGATTTATTAGCATATTTTTTATATAGGTTAATGACGTAACGAATATGTAGTCATCGTGTTGAAGTATAACGATACAAAAACTCATTTTTTCTCATCCGAAAATATCTTCAATAAATTTATTTTAAGTCTCTGTGTCTCCGATCTCTTCTCCGCATCTATCGGTTGAATTTATAAAATTTGAAAATTATCAAAAGTCGATATATGAGCATATTTTCTACCTATAATGATGACGCCATCGAATATGACGTCATCGTGTTCAAGTATACGGATACAAAAACGCATTTTTTCTTATTCAGAAATATCTTCAATCAATTTATTTTGAGTCTCTGTGTGTCCGATCTCTTCTCGGCATCTGTCAGTTGGGTAAATTTATACAGAAGAACATGGGGGTTCAATGTATTTGTCCCGCCAAACTTTTTCTGTTGGGTAAGTGTTTGGGTATTACATTTAATTTTCTAGTAATTGATTTCTCTTGCGTACATGAAAGAGCACAAGGGGGCGTTGTGGAGGCGTGACTCTAACCCAACCTAATCGTTGTTCTTGAGCACTATTGATGAATAACGAAATAATGAAATTAGCGTTACATTATGGTTAAGCACAAGCAACGGCATTGATCGCTATTTTATGTCTTTATGTTCAATATCATTAATTTTCAAGGCGAGCAGAAGGGAATATTATTGTATTTTAATTCTACCTTTAAAATTTATTAATTTTATGGGCAGCATCTCAATATTTTGTTGATTTTTTTAAAGTTACTTATTTTGTTTTACAGTTTTATTGGGGAGCCGATATGTGGACTTCTTGCGTTACATCTCAGCATATCCTAGGGTTCGCGATTTTGCGCCTCATCTCAGTGTGGAAACCGGTGAGATTCAGCAAGATTAAACCACTACACGGAAGGGTAAGATATATATTCCGCCTTGTGAATGTGAATATATGTAAGGTCAAATACAGGGGCGTAGCCAGTATTTTATGACAATGACAATACACTTGATGCAAACAAAAACTAAGAGAAAAAAATTGAAAATGGCATTGCACTGTGAAAAGTGACGCGAAAAAAAAACAATTCTCTGGGGGCTCTGAACATTCTATTTGCCAAGTTAGATCGAAACAGCTAGCGGGTCCGGCTGAACGCCATGAAACGTGTGTTTTCATGAGTCTTGAGGGTCTAAAAAGCGTTTCAAGCTACAAAATGGCTATGTATGATACAGAAAGATGCTTTGGCTCCCGAAGTATGCGAACCAAGATGGCGGACATCGGAAGTAATATGTGTACTAGGTTAGGGGTAGGCAATAATTTTAGGTATAAATACTACGGGAGGCTCTTGGCTAGTCTTCGAACTGATAATAGGACTGAAATAGGGAAAATTGGAAAAAAATTATCGCCTAACCCTAACCTGTTACCCATGTTACGTTCCGATGTCCGCCATCCTGGTTCGCATACTTCGGGAGCACCGATGCTTTTATTTTTTTCGCATTTCAAAAAAAGGGGGGGGGGGGGGGGGGGGGCAAAGGGGGGGGGGGGGGCACCCATTGGCTACGTCATGGTGACCATAAGGTCCATAAAGTCCAAGACCATCATTCACAATTTCAATATTGTTTTGAAGTCAGTTCTCAATATATATATGTTAACCAGGTTAGTTAATTTTTAATCAATAATTGTTAAGTATTTTTACTCCATTTGATTAATACATATGTGAAGACCAAAACAATATATGGATAATATCCTTTGCAATTTTAAAAAATCTCAAGATTTTATCAACAAGTCAATTTTTATGATTATCACATTATTTTCTTTTTTATTTCATTTTACCCTTTGAATCGGAGATAAATTTAATTTCTTGTTTCAAATAACACAGGCAAGATTTTCATTACAGATATGGATTGTATTAATCTGGGTTGTCGGATTCCTTTGTGGCTTCATACCTTTCGCTTTCTTCAGCGGTGCGAAGATTAGAGACAGAAGCGATAGAACATCACCAACCGCTAGATGGCCATCTTGTACCCAGAACCAAGAAACGTGAGTGGCATAATAATTGTCCATCTGAAACCATCCAAAGTCGCAGTAGATGTTTCTCCGATCCTTGACCACGGATGAATTCTCCTTGTATTTTACTATTGCAAAATTTTTGATGCTTATTTTGGGTTTGAGAGTTGTAGCTTACAAGTGGTTTACATGTTAAAAACTATCAGTTGTTTAAATATTCAACCACGTGCCGCTTACAGAAACTGATAGCTAATTTTAGCCTAGTCTATCACATCTTTTTCGGGGCTAATTTTTGACCATTGCAACTAAACTGAAGCTCCTCGGAAGGCATAATGAAAATTAAATTAGTTGATCTACAAATCAATGTGGGTCATTTTGCTGATTGGTCATCGTTACGGAAATAAACAAGGAATTCGATAATCGGGAAAACATCCATTGTGTTTAACAGGCCTTATAACCAGCGGTGGGATTCAAAGTTTTAATAACGGGTTCTCCTGATCTACGTCATTATATAACTATTATACACATTCAACTTTCAGACTTGAAATCTACTCTCGCTACATTGAATACGCTTATCCAATCTTCTTCTACTTTCCGTTGGCTGCGATCGCATTGGTCTCCGTAGGCATCGGGATAGTCATTGTACGAAAACGAGCGCATATGAGCAGAGCAAGAACAAGCAGCGACCCTTCCAAAGCTGTGAAGGAGAGACAGAAAGAAAAACAGGCGATTCTACAATTAGGACTGATTGTCGGATCGTTCATGCTTGGATATATACCGTTCACAGGTTGGCTATAGATTGATGGTTATCGAACTTTTTGGGTCGCGCACCTTTTTTCGAGTTTTTCGAGCCTGGCAGCCCACCTCCAAAATAACTAGCTAACAATATTCTACAAGTAACAAATTGTAAAGCGAAATTACGTTTTCTTCAAAAAATACATTGAAATTACGTGGATGAAACGTGATTATTCAAATTGAAAAAAGTCAATATCCAAAATAAGGCGGGCAAAATCGAATCAGACAAATATTTCCATTTTTAATAAGCTTCACGCCATCTCAAAAAATTGTCTACGCCCTCTTGTGAGGCGCGCCCCGCCGTTTGAAAGCCACCGCTGTAGATTATCCTATTTGGTTGATCCTTTCCTATATTTTTATTTAACTTCCATGAAAAAGTTCTTAATCACTGCAGATGTTAGATCATTTTTATTTGGTTAGGTTATTTCCTATATTTTCATTTAATTTTATGAAAAAGTCTTTAATCTTCACGGATAATACCTTACTTTCGACAAACTGCACACTAATGTACGCTTCATACAGTTCTGTCTACCCTCCCTCTCCAGTGTCGCCTCCTCCTCCCTGATCCTGGAAATGTCAGTTGTCTTATCAGATTAGGAAACAGAGCAGATAGAGCGGAAGGATCGTATCTTATGCTTGTGTTTTTGTTTATGCATATATGATGATAAATGGCCATTTCCTTCTGTCTTTTCTACATTAGACACTAACCGACATATCACAACAAGTTATGTTTCATAGGGCTCCGCCTCCCTCATGGATCAAGTGCTGTCTGAACAATTATCCTGTCAGCTATTTTGAATACGTGACTCATCAAAAAATTAAGCTGTCTTTTCCAATTGGGACATATTGGTAGCCGAGGCTATTTGTTTCAGATGCGTGTTCTTGGATAATGAAACAATTTAAAAGCGCTCAGATCATTATCCCAGTTCATTTTGTATACTTTCTCCTTTTTTATTACTCATAGTGACTCTATGTCATAGGTTCGCAAAGTGCTCCATACGGATCTGTTCGTTTACCTTATAAAATACTGACTTGGATAATTTTGTAACTGTCCAAAGAAGCAATAACGGTATAAATAAATTAGACAACGATAGTGTGGGAATGTGGCAACAAGACGGTACTTCAAATATGACTTGATTATCTGTAAGTTCCAATATATAATGTGATAATATCATATTTCAATTGCCGCCTTGTTGACACATTTCAACATTATTAATATGCTTGTTAAGTGTCAAATTTACAGCGTTAATATAATTTATCTTCGGGGCTCCGTAATTAATAGTCAATCTTGTTCCGAGCTCAATAACACGATAAGTTTGAGAACCCCATTTATATGAGATTTCGGTGAATCTCTATAAAACTGCTCCGAGATAAGTTTGCATTAAACGAATTCTTATTTAGAAAGTAAATTAAAACCGTTTATTTCAAAGTATACGAATTCTGGACTCTTAATAATAAGGACACGTCACTAGAAGGATGGAAGAGAGAGTGGATGTTCGGTACAGCTCAATACATCTGTCTGAGATTTTCAGAATGCTTGAACCCCGTGTTCTATAACCTTGCCTCAACGTAAGAAATTTTCATCACTATTCATTCTCGGTACTACCGTAGTATGTTAACTAAGATGGCGGACACCGGAACGTAGTATGTGTACCAGGTTAGGATTAGGCCTTGATTTCAGGTACAAATGGTTTATGTAGGTAAGTTCATGCGTTACAAATTATGGCCTACACTAACCTGGTACACATACTACGGGAGTACCCTAAATTGAATTTGTAAAGGGACTTTATGGACACCCGTTTTTTTTGACAGATTTCTGCTCACTACCGACCCCAAGTGGCGCAATCATATATAAAATACATATATGCTTCTTATATTGGGGATATATTGTCGTTTCATCGAAGCTTCCCTTTCAAAACAAACCGAATAATAAAAGTTTTTCTGAATCTCTCATTTTTTTTGCCATTAACAGGAAGATGAGAAAAGAGACAAAGAAATTCCTAAAAGGACTTGATTGTAGAAATGCCGGGTCCAAAGGGCGAGCAGCTTCTTCGGCTTCTTCTGTCGATACTGGACTTGAGTTGTAGTTCAAAATCTCAACACAAAGATTCTTTTATGCAATTCTTCATGAACCATGGGTGTGCAGCCTTTAATACAGGAGAGCCAGATAGAAATAAATTTTGGATATTGATCTTTTGATATGCGTTGGTCGCTTCGCACAAGTTTGCTGTTACGGCATTGTAACGTCATAAAATAATAAATTGAATTCAGGTATAGGCTTTGCAACGCAAAGGGATTAAAATTATTCTCACGCACTGAATTAAGTTAAAAACTTGTTTAGCGGGCCTCACATTATTTAAAATTGGCACTTCTCAGCGGGCCGCACAATCTTTCCTTGTGGGCCGCATTTGGCCCGCGGGCCGCAGGTTGCACACCCCTGCCATGGACAATCAAATATAGATGTTTCCATCTGGTCGCTGATTTCCGATCTGGTATTATGAACCTGCCTTCTCCATCGAGGAAATATTCAAAACGGCAATCGAGGCCACACATTGTTAATAAATGTGGTACTCCGTAGTATGTGCATCAAGATGGCGGACACCAGAACGTAGTATGTGTATCAGGTTAGGGTTAGGCCGTAATTTCAGTTACAAATACTATGGGAGTCACTTGGCTAGTAGCCGAAGTCGTAATAGAACTTAAGTAGAGAAAATTGGAACAAAACTATGGCCTAACCCTAACCTGGTACACATACTATGTTCAGGTGTCCGCCATCTTGTTGTATGGTCTGAGTATTGTGGTATCATCCTAATTTGTATTTTAAGGCTCCGACCACCCATTACACGTGCGAGAGGAAATATATCTCCTAATCTCCTTTTTGGCTGTTGAGCTGGAGGTCGTCTACTTTTTAGTTGTGTCTGCTGCTTTTTATGTTTTGATTGTGCAGTTGCCGTATCAATGAGTAACCAATCCGAGGTCTCCTGATACAACTATCACAGTGACAAAGCTTTATCTGGGACACTGATCTCTCCACCAGAATAAATATTCCATTTAAAACTTTACATAATATTCAGTATTTGTATATTCAATCTCTTTTATTTTTTATCTATGCACATATTTTCAATTTCTTTTATGTTCAAAAATGACCGTTTTGTTGTTTTATTTTAGAAACGTTGATTTTAAAAAAACGCAATCTTTTTTTATGCGCAAATACTGTCCCCAACCTAGCTAAGCCTCGCTGAGTAAAGGTACAGAATTAGGATCATCGTTGAAATTAATGATTAACAATTTTTATGACTTTCTGCAAAATACGAATCACACTAATCAAGTGGTTTTCAAACTTTCATTATTCTTAGCCCTTTCCTTGAACTATCAACACATGTGCCCCCTTGCAATTAAATGAAATAGCCTTGTTTTGTTTTTAAATAGTTCCAATAAGTTATTTTACCCCTCATGTTTAATAATACAAAGCCAACAACAAAAGAAAGAAAAAGAATAAATACATCGCTGTCAAAAGAATTCAACAAATTACAGTTGATATCCTTTTTCAAAATTAATATAATCCTCGCAAATGGCAGCTGATTACGGCTTTGCAACGAAAATGAAATGAAATTACTCGCATGCACCAGATTTAACTAAATTAGTAAATCGTTTTGAGCGCTGTACACACAAATTAGCACTGCTCCGCGGGCGCACAATTTTCCCCTTTGCAGGTTGGACACCCGTGATCGATAACATTAAACTTGTTTTAGCAATATTTTCATTAGATATTTTCTTTATTATTTTTTGTTTACTATTTCTAATCGATTGTCAAAATAAATTCAGATATTGACTGAAAGATGGACTCCTTTATTATATAGGGTGTCCATAAAGTGGTTAAAAATTCAAACTTTCCTCCTTCGTCTAGCTCAGGGGTCGGGAACCTTTTTGGTCAAGAGAACCACAAAAGCTACATATTTCCAACTGCTTTTTCGTTCGAGCCATATAGCAATTCTTCACTTAAGTTAATCAGGTTTGCAATTTTTACTCAGAAGTCAACACATACAATGTCAATATACTTTTAATGTGACTTCTGATACTGCATGTTGTCGCTGAGGACCTTGAACGGCTGCTCACATGCAGCAAAAGTTGAAATCTACGATACTCGTCACCCTTCTTTTGATTAGGGATCTTAGTAGATTTTTCAAAAACTAGCTTTGCTAGTCCGATTCAAATATGACAAATACTGTAACTAGTACGTACGAACGGACGAAAAGCTTTATTCTATTGCTCCGCGACTCTATCGCTTTGTGATGTCACAATATTTTTATTTATTTTGTTTTTATCAATTATTTTATCGTCTATTGCTGATTATGGAGTCGAAATAAACTTATTATTATTATAATATTTATTATAATATACGTCCCAGAATCCCCAAGTTTTGTCACAATGCCTGTCTGGTAATTCTCTTAGATAAAATAGACATGCGCTGGGCGTGCGTTCTCAAACGTATTGGCAAATTTGGTCATAAAAGGGTTGGAAATCTCGTAACAATAGTAATCTTAGCCTCAGAAAACTAGATTTTTCTGGGAGCCATATGCCGTCACCAAAAGAGCCATATATGACTCGCGAGCTATGGGTTCCCGACCTCTGGGGTAGCTGTTGAGCTTTACGGGGCAGAGGGTGATTCATATACCGTAACCGCTGCTGGGTACGGCTTCTTCGATTATCAAGTCCATCCATCTGAAATAAAAAAAAAAATGACTAACTAATCTCATACTTGACATGGACTGGTAACCAGACAATAGGCCCTGGTTCACCATATGATAAAACCGTCTTATCGGCTTTCTTTTCCCCGAAATAAATATGTAAATCCTACTCTAATGTAAGTAAAACAGCGAAACACACGTCACACACGTATTTCAATTTCTTGTTTGATTTCCTCAAGCTTTACGGCGCAGTACGGTGGTTCACGTACCATAACCACTTTTTTACGGCTAACTAATCCCATTCCCAACATGGAGGCCTACTTGTAACCAGTCGAGCGGCCGTGGTTTTGCCATATAAGTGAGCCGTCTTATCGACTTTCCTTCCCCCCCAGGATAAATATGTAAGTCCTACTCTAATGCAAGTAGCATAGCGAAGCACACACCACATACGTGATAGCTCAACGTATTGATGTGCTTCCGTCTAGTTTTCGAGCTTTATGACGCAGAAGGAATTGAATAATGAATAATCTATCTTATAAACTTAACCATCTTTCAAACATCTTATTTTATAGTGTTACCAGGTTTTTTGAATACACCTAATCATTAAAATTGATTTGTATATTGTTACTGAAAAATTACTGATCTCACGTCTTATTATGCACCGCACGTACCGGAGAAATAATTTTTGGAATAGCATGCATTTCATTAACATGGTAAAGCAAGTAATATCACATTTTTTTTGGAAGTGTATTGTAATGAAACTGCACTATAGTCAAATTTTTTATCTTTTCCGCAGAAGCCGTTTGAGTTGCGGACCATTCTTGACATAGGCTCTGTGTATGTTTATCCAATTGCATGTTTGTTATTTTAAAATCGTTTATGTAAGACGAAGATTATCACACAGATGAGTAGTGTTATTTTAGTGAGAGATATGGTAACGCATGTACGAAACCTAAGATTATAGTTTATAATTAAATTGTATCAGAGCGGAGAACAAAATTATTCACGTTAAATTCATTTTAGTATTATTAGTAGACTTCTAAGATTTTATTTATATATAGTATTTTGTTTGTTTCCATGTTTCGCTTTTCTGACATTATTGAACTAATATAGTTCTTAGCATGTCTACCAGGTCAGTATGGTTAGGCCATACTTTTATTTTGATTTTCCTTATTTTAGTTCTATTACGATTTCGAGGACTGTTTGTGTTAGCCAAGTGAATATACCCCTGAAAATAGGCTTCCGTCCCTTTACACAACTTGATGTAAAGTAGGCGAACAAAATTAGTTACCTCCATATGGGTGCACACACTTCTGGGCGACGTTTAATAAAATTTACTGAGACGGTCTATTCTAGTGTATCAGAGCAATCAAATTTTATAAATTCAAAAATTATAAATTCAAATAATCGACTCATATTTCCGTATTAGTGACGTCATAGAGATGAATTACTGAGGTGGTAAAATGCGCAATAATTATCTTTATCGATTGTTGTCGAATAATCTTTCAACATTCAAATCAACGCGTTGTATGATCACAAGAATTCGCAATTTACATAAATTCAATTATTTCCTTAATTTGTGAGCTTAATATTCTTTGGTCTACTCAGTTATGCCTGAGCGTCACGTACAAGAAGGACGTGAAATACACTAAATGAGACAAGTTTGTTTTTTGGTATTCCCGAAGTATGTGAACCAAAATGGAGAATAAGGAAAATCGAATAAAATTATGGCCTCACCCTAACCTGGCACACATACCAAGGGAGTACCAAATTTATTTTAGAATTATTAGTAGACTTCTAAGATTTTATTTATATATAATATTTTGTTTGTTTTCATGTTTCGCTTTTCTAACAATATTGAACTAATTATTTAGTTCCCAGTTTATTCCAATTTCCTGAGACGGTCTATTCTAGATTATCAAAGAAAATACGCTGATCGAAAATTATGAATTCAAAATATCGACTCATTTCAGGTGGGGAAATGCGCCATGATTTTCTTTATCGATTGTTTCCGAATAATCTTTCATCATTCAAATTGACGCGTGGTATGATTAAAAGGATTTGTGATTTACATAAATTCAATCATTTCCTCATTTTGTTAACTTTTGTTAGCTCTACCCAGTTATGCCTAAACGTACAACCGATTAAGGACGTGAAAAAGCACGACCCCTCAAAGGGCTTTCGTGGCATAGGAAGAATTTTTCTGGGTCCAAGGGTCTGGGAAATGCTCATCGCTAGGACTGGGAATTTTTGAATACCTGATTATATCAGAATGGAATCGAATATTTTTTTCGAATTGAATCTCGAACACTTGGAGATGTATAATTGTATGTAACTTTCTTCTTGTATTGGGTCCTCCAGACACATAAATTACTGGAAACGTAAAATACATCACTCAGGCAGATTGCTGAGCGTTCACGTACAATAAAAAACTTGTTCTCATCAATAAATCACTACAGAAAAGAGTCATATGTCAGAATTGCGTTGAAAAAATATGGCTTCAATAAAAAATATTGAGAAATTTATCTCGACATTTGTCAGAAAGGTGAAAAACAAGATGGCGGCAATTCGAAATTTCGCTTTGACCCGATTCGAATAATTTACTATTCGAAATAATTCGAATATTCGATTCGAAATGCCCAGCCCTATGGCCATCGCTTTTAACAGTTACTGCAAATGCAAATTGAACACGCTCTTACATTACGTAGACACGATGCTAGTTTACGTAAGAGGCAGGAATTAAAGTTTCCAATCATATTATGAATCCTCGGTCTATCTCGATCTATCTATCTATCGAGTCATCTTTAAATAAAAATTCCATAGTTCAATATACTCGAGTCGAATCGTGCAAAGCGACGCTGATATAAATTTCAAATTTCATAATCAAGCTGTTTTTTCGCTAAAATATTACAATTTGGTTTTATTTTGGTTGTGGCAGCACTAGGTGGGCCAGATTGAATTACCCAGCGGGGCGTAGTTTATCCATGTCAGCCATAAACCCTCATTCAACGGCGGCGCAATGGCCTAGCACAGGGGTGGGCAACATACGGCCCGCGGGCCGGGTCCGGCCCGCGAAGAGATTTTGACCGGCCCGCTGACTGTATCCAACCATACTCTGTAATGTGGTCCGACGCATCATCCCAATAAGTTGTCGTCCTTTCTACGAGTCAGTCGAGCGAGCTGGTGAAATAAACAATTGCCTTAGAGAACAAACAATTGCGTTAGCACACTTGTTAAACAAATACCACAAGGTCAAAGCAGAGAGCAGAGATTCTAAATATAGATAGAATTTAGATTTTATATTAAGTTTTACTAATCATGGAACATCCCAAGAAACGTAAATTTGACAGAGAGTGTTGAGCATTCAATTTTCTTTCTTGCATTAGCGAATAAATATGTGATTAAGATATTGAATACTATTCATGTAATAATCCGGCCCTCCCGAGGACTTCATTTTCCCACATCTGGCCCGCCGACTAGAGAAGTTGCCCACCCCTGGCCTAGCAGTTCAAAGCGTCAGATTCAGCATCGCAGTTTATTAGGTTTTCGGAAGCGTAACTCGAGTTCTGATAACAATGACATATTCTGTAAGCGTGAATATCTAGAGAAGTAGTCTGGCTTCTATTGCCAGGATGCGAGCCGTTCTTTTTAATCCATCGGATTAGGAGTCTGATTCGGAGTCAAAATTTTAAAATCATCAAAAACAGTATGTCTGAAGGTTACGTGAGCAAAATGTTGTTATCCATAGCCAAAAGTTGTAGTCCGAGTCGATTTTTTAATTCGAAACCGTTGTTAATATATTTATTGACAGTCTTAAAGGAGTGACGTAGTTTTTGACGACTCTGCTCTATTCAAATTAGTGCCTGGATACTTGTGAAAGATTTAAATCAATTTAGTGACTCGATTTATAGGAAGCTTTATAGGTAAATATATCCCTGGTTCTGCTTGGCTTACAATAGATTAGTATTTTGTTTAATCGCTTTTACCAATTTTTATTTAAATTTTACTCAAATAGTCTTTTGCATTTGGGTGACTCATATGCAGATGACACCAAATATTTCACCATACCAACTACTTTGACTGAAGCATGGCGTCCCAGTGACTTGACTGTAACTCTGTCGAAAATCAAGACTTCTATCTTTTCTAGCGCATGATAAATTTAGGTACTCCCGAAGTATGTGAACCAAGATGACAGAGATGATGAACGTAGTATGTGTAGCAGGTTAGGGTTAAGCCATAATTTTGTTCCAATTTTCCTTATTTTTGTTCTATTACGAGTTCGGGGACTAGCCAAGTGATTTCCGTCGAAATTTTCACGGAAATGATCGCCTAGGAGTTACTACTTTTATCTGCTGCGCGTCTCGTTGTTTATATGGGTATAATAAATCTTTTTTTGCACAGGACGTGTAAGAACAAATTTAAGAACTTAAATAAAGTACTAAAGAACAAAAGTCTTCTGTAGAATAGCGTCTGAGCATGGGTGAAACAACGGTATCGGGTTTTGAGGTATCAAGCACAGTTAGGTAGGCTATATGATTAGGAATATTTTTGTTATTTTGCTAATTTTTAATACTCTGGTCAAACGACCACAGTAAAAATAGACTATATAGATCGGCGAGTCAAAAATAAATACTCGATGACAAAGAACATTGAACAGTCATTACTATTTTCTTTGCACATCAAGAGTAGAGTATAACGGATACAATTTTGCATACTTTTTTTTATTAGGAATTGTTCAAATCATAGTACCTGTACGTACCTTTAATATGTCTGGTACTCCCGCAGTGTGTGTAGCAGGTTAGGGTTAGGTCATGTTTAATTTTATTGCGATTTTCTTTATTTTAGTTCTATCACGAGTTTGGGGACTGTCTGTGTTAGCCAAGTGAATATCCCCCTGCCCATAGGTTTCATTCCTTTCACACAACTTGATGTGAAGTAGCTGAACATGTTGAAAAAAGTTTGGGAATCTCTGGTATAATTAAAGCTTTGATTTAACGAAATTTAATATGGTATTTGAATATTCCAGATACGAATCCTCAACCTTCAACGATACGGATGATAAAGTTGTGACCTTTCTTCCTTTTAATGACGTCATCGTGGCCGTCGTTGCCACATTTTTAATCCTTTTCCTAATTCTTGGATTCTTTGGAAATCTTCTGACAATTATGGTCATCGTTAAGTCAACGAAACTCAGGCAAGTATGAATGCCCTGACGAACTTTGCGTTATCTTACGTTACTACACGTTACCTTACGTTACCTTACGTTACCTTACGTTACCTTACGTTACCTTACGTTACCTTACGTTACCTTACGTTACCTTACGTTACCTTACGTTACCTTACGTTACCTTACGTTACCTTACGTTACCTTACGTTACCTTACGTTACCTTACGTTACCTTACGTTACCTTACGTTACCTTACGTTACCTTACGTTACCTTACGTTACCTTACGTTACCTTACGTTACCTTGCGTTACCTTGCGTTACCTTACGTTACCTTACGTTACCTCGCGTTACCTTGCGTTACCTTACGTTTCCTTACGTTACCTTACGTTACCTTACGTTACCTTACGTTGCCCTACGTTGCCTTACGTTACCTTACGTTACCTTACGTTACCTCGCGTTACCTTACGTTACCTTACGTTTCCTTACGTTACCTTACGTTACCTTACGTTACCTCACGTTACCTTACGTTACCTTACGTTACCGTACGTTACCTTTCGTGTATTCTTTAAAAAACACGTTGGAAATACGTGGATGGAACGTTAATATCCAAAATATAGAAATGTAAATATCCGAAATATCAAATCCAACAAATATTTTAGTTAGATTCAGACCCCCTCAAAAAATACTTCTAATGAAAAAAATCAAAATTTGAAAATTAAAAATATTCGATTCATCAGCATATTTTCTATATAGGTTAATGACGTCATCGAATATGACGTCATCGTATTCAAGTATCAAAACAAAAAAGCAAGGTTTTGAAAGTAATTCGTTTTCTTATTCAGAAATATCTTCAATCAATTCATTTTGAGTCTCTGCTTCTCCGATCTCTTCTCGGCTTTTGTCAGTTGGGTAAATTTATACAGAAGAACATGGGGGTTCAATGTATTTGTTCCGCCAAACTTTTTCTGTTGGGTAAGTGATAAGGAAAATTAGTATATTTAATTTTCTTCCAACTGGTTTCCTTTGTCTACATGAAAGAGCAAAATGGGGCGTTGTGGGGGCGTGGCCCTAACCTAATCGCTGTTCTAGAGCTAATTTGATACGCGATCTCATTTGATTTTTATTGGAGTGCCATATTGGCAGTGGTGGGATTCAGTCGGTTCGCACCGGTTCTATAGGACCGTCTCGCGGAATTTTATGAGATCAGCTGACGGTTAGCATTACTGGTTTCTGTCAATGTTCTGTTTGTAAGAACCGGCTGAAAAATATGTCTGTTGTGAAAAAACCGGCTGAAAAAATTTAAATCCCACCACTGCATATTGGTATGCGTTTAATCTCATAAAGACATTCTCAGAAGTCAGTTTCTACCCCTAACTCTGGCTAGGATTTTTGAGATCACACAACAGCTGAGATCCATACCAAAGTAGCAACAAAAAACTAGTTTATACACTTTTTTTTTTAATTTCTTTGTTTAGCTTACATGTTAAGATGAGGCTGGTAATATATAGTGAGTGGCCAGTATCAGGTATTATTACATTAATCGATTATTAATAATTGCTGCCATGATATCGGACTACACTGTACATTGAATAGTCCGAAATGAACAAAAAAAAAACGTTTTGTGGTGCTTGGCCAGTGGTGGGATTCAAGGTTTATCTGCGCGAAATTTGGGCATGGTTTTAGCGAAATTAGATAAAAGAGAACAAATTTTTAAGATTTGAAATCTCATTTACTGTGCGTGACCCTATAATCCTTCTTTGTGGCTTACATAAAAATCGGGTCGGTGGTTACTAAATATAGCAAAGGAGGTGGGAGTAAATGGGGCGTTTCACTAACCTAACTTAACTCAGTAACGATTATAAATCAAACTCAAACACTAATGCTTTTTACATCTAGATGGGGGACTTTGGTTTTACTACTGTACGCTAATAGCAATTTTTCTTTTTCTCGTTCCCAATTGATCGTTTTTGCTCGACCTGGGGTAAAGACTGAATATTGGACTCAGATATTGTGTATTTAACCTCAGAGTAGAGTGCCCACTTCTACGTAATTGCCGAAACGAAGTCTTTTCCATCTTTAGCTTTTTAGCTAATGTTTTCGACTTGGGTAAAAGTTGGACGAGCTGGGGTTGAAGTTTAGATGAGAATATTAACCTTTGTTAAAATTAGGACACGTAGGCTGCACAGACTACGCTACATATACAACACAATTGACCCTTTTTCGCTCTTCTTGGTTTTTGCTTCTTAATTGGTAATTACCAATATGAGAAAAACGCGTGTTCTCACTTACAATATTGCGTTCGATATTTTGTTGACGGGCGGTCATTATTTTTGATTTCTTGATTATTGTTTCGTAACTTTTATTTTACAGTTTTATTGGGGAGTGGAAATGTGGACATCTTGCGTTACATCTCAGCATATCCTAGGATTCGCGATTTTGCGTCTCATCTCTGTGTGGAAACCTGTAAGATTCAGCAAAATTAAACCACTACATGGAAGAGTAAGATTTTTAATCTGCCTCGTGAATATACTCAAAAAAACATGGGAGCGTTGGTTAAAATATGGGCCTTGTTACGATATGACGTAATATACCCTATAGCGCGATGGTTCTCAAACTTTCAGGGTTATGTGGCCGTGAAGATGTTGACCTCACAATAAATTTTCCTCAGAAACTTGAAAAACATATTAATAATGTGGCAACTAGGCGGTGGTTGAAATAAAGCGTTATCCATTAGAACTTAGATATAGATAGATAGATAATTTCAAATTCGAATTAACGCCATCGTTGACAAATTTAAATAATGCTGTTATTGCTTCCTTGAACAGTTGCAAAATTAACGAAGTCAATATTTTAATAGTTGAAGAAATAGTCGGCGAAGCCCCTAGGTTTCTCTCGCGGAGCCCCAGGGCTCCGTATGAAGCACTTTGAGAACCTATGCCCTATAGCGCCATCTGTGTTCAATGTACTTGGCTGTTCTTGTAAAGCGTGGTATTTGTCTTGTACCAGTTCTACTGTGCGGTGTATTTCTTATGTTTACTGATGATAATATAAGGTGGTGTTGTTGAGAACCCGTAAGGCTAGATAGAGAACGAAACAGGCAAAAGTCGCGCATTAGTACCGGTATGGTAAAGCATGAGCTTAGCTGTTGTTCACTCTTAGGCTTCGAGACGATGAGGCGTCCAATTTCTTTTACAAGTTCCATTTTGTTATGAAGTCAGTTATCAATATATCTTACCCAGGTTTGGTGTTTTTTAATCAGTAACTGTTTAAGTATTTTTACTTTATTTAATACATCTGTGCGGGCAAAAGAATATGTGATATCGATAAATTCTCTTCGCAATTTTAGTTTTTACGACTTTATGTAACTCACAAAGTCAATTTTTATCATCATCGCTTAATTATCTTCATTATTTCTTATTTTTTTTTGCCCTTTCAACTCGGAGATAAATTTGGTTCCTTCCTGAAAAGTACACAGACAATATTTTTATTACAGATATGGATTGTATTAATCTGGGTTGTCGGATTCCTTTGTGGCTTCATACCTTTTGCTTTCTTCAGCGGTGCGAAGATTAGAGACAGAAGCGATAGAACATCACCAACCGCTAGATGGCCATCTTGCACCCAGAACCAAGAAACGTAAGTGACGTAATACGTTGGAGTGTTTCATAGGCTATTGCAGAAATTTCTTCGACTAGAGTTGTGATCATGTCCTGCTTGCCGGGTGAAATAGGTAGAAGAGAGAGAGATAATAATTTATTTCCGAATATATCAAAAATGTACATATTACAATGGATGGAAGGAAGCCATTTTTCAAATATTTTTAAAATTAATTAGCACTATCAGAGAGAACGAAAGAGAATTGGCATTGAAAAATGGAAAAAATGTCGTAAAAGACATAATACTCAAACATGCCTGTCAGACTCGATCCATACAGAGTCACTGCCAATAATTTATGCCTGACAGACCTTATAACTAGGCTCACCATTTTCATGAAACAAAGAACCGGGGCAGTACGGGTTGGACAAACCTAGGTTCGTTTCCGAGGCAAAAAAACTGGCTTATGCCCCTGATTCTAGTCATCTAAAGAAGATGACGCAGAATGAAATAATTGGCTCGATTTAGAACTGGACTTGAGACAGTGGTGTCGCCAGGAATTACGAAGGAGGAGTTGGGTTTCATGTTGGCAAGTTAGACCGGAACATCTAGCGGGTACGTGTGTGTTTAAGTGTCTTGAGGGTCTTAAAAGCGTTTCAAGCCGCAAAAAATACTATGTATGATACAGAATAATACGTTTTTATACATTTCAAAAGGAAGGAGGTGGGCTCGGTTGGAACCCATAGTCTATACTAATGAAAACCCCGGAGTGCCGAGAAACCCTGATTTAGTCATTTTATAACTATTATACACATTCAACTTCCAGACTTGAAATCTACTCTCGCTACATTGAATACGCTTATCCAATCTTTTTCTACTTTCCGTTGGTTGCGATTGCATTGGTCTCTATATGCATCGGGATCGTCATTGTACGAAAACGGGGTCAGATGAGTAAAGCAAGATCGAGCAGCGACTCTTCCAAAGCTGTGAAGGAGAGACAGAAAGAAAAACAGGCGATTCTACAATTAGGACTGATTGTCGGATCTTTTATGCTTGGATATATACCGTTCACAGGTTGGAAGTAGAGCAATTCATTTAGTATAGTCATTTTGTATATTTTTATTTAATTTATTGAGAAAAGCTCTTAATATTTGCATATGTTAGATCATTTTATTTAGTCGGGGTTATTTTCTATCTTTTTAATTGGATTTGTGGAAAGAGCTCTTAATCTCGGCAGATGTTAGTTCCTTTTTTCTCGTTTGTACGCATTTGGTGATAAATGATGATTTTCTCTTTTATCTCGTTCACATTCGACGAACTGCGCAACAAGGTAAGCGTCATACAATCCCGCCAACCCCTCTCTTTCCCTCCTGATCTTGGATCAACTGGAATCCGTGGTTAATCAGAAATGTTGGATTAAGAAACAATGGAAGAAAAAGTATCGTATCGTATGAGTGCGTTTTTAGATAATGAAACAAGCAGTCTATCCTCAAAGTTCCTTTTATTTAATCTCTCGTTTTGTATTATACAACGTAACTTCACGAGATGTCGGTGGATCTCCAAAATTTTGTTCAGAGATGTGTTTGCATTGAACGAATTCTCACTTAAAAAATAAATTGAATCCTATTATTTTCAAGTATTCGAATTCTGGACTCTTCATAATAAGGACACGTCACTAGAAGGATGGGAGAGGGAGTGGATGTTCGGTACAGCTCAATACATCTGTCTGAGATTCTCAGAGTGTTTAAATCCCGTCTTCTACAACCTTGCTTCTTCGTAAGAAATTTTTATATCTATTTATTCGGTACTCCCGTAGTATGTGTACCATGTTACGGTTAGGTCATAATTTTATTCTGATTTCTTCTTATTTTAATTCTATTACGAGTTCGGGACTGTCCGTGTTATCAAAGTGAATATACCCCCTGGGTATGGGGCCTTAGGTTTCATTCCCATTACACAACTTGATGTAAAGAAGGCGAACAAAATTAGTTACTTTCAAATTGGTACACATACTTCTGGAGCGCCATTTATTCGTTACTATCTCACATTTTCATCTCTAGTGAAGCCTGGAAAAAATTTAAAACTGCGAAGGGAATTTATCTATACCATATTTTGTTTTGTCCTCACAGATGTATCAAATGAAGTAAAAATAATCAAACAATTAACAAATACTGGCTAAAATTCAAACCTGGTTAAGATTAATTGAGAACTGACTTCATGACAAAATTGAAATTGGAAAGGGACTTTATGGACACCGTGTTATAATTAATCTCTTACAACTGTTAAAAGTGACAAATTCCTGCTCAACACCAACCCCGCGTAATACATTGATTTGTAAATACATATATGCTTCTTGTATTGGTCATATATTGGTTCTTCATCGAAGCTTTCCTTTTCGAACAAACTGATTAATAAAAGTTGTCCCAAATCTCTCTTATTTTGTTTGCCATTAACAGGAAGATGAGAAAAGAGACAAACAAATTCCTAAAAGGACTTGATTGTAGAAATGCTGAATCTATAGGACGAGCAGTTTCTTCGGCTTCTTCTGGCGAGACTGGACTTGAATTGTAGTTCAAATTATCACCACAAAGAATATTTGGTACTTCCCTAGTATGTTGTGTACCAGGTTAGGGTTATGCCATAATTTAATTCCGATTTTCTTTATTTTAGTTCTATTACGAGTTTGGGGACTGTCCATGTTAGCCAAGTGAATATACCCCTTGCTCATAGGCTCTCGTCCCTTTATACAACTTGATCTAAAGTAGGCGAACAAAATTAGTTACATCCATATCGGTACACATATTTCTGGAGCGCCGAATATTTTCTGTGATTGTCCATAAACAATCAAATATAGATGTTTCCATCTGACCTCTGAGTTCCAATCCGTCAATCTGAATCTGTCTTTTTCATTAAAGAAATATTTAAAACGGTAATCGAGACCCGCACTTTATTGATAAATGTATCTCCACACTCGTGCACGTGCCGAAACCTCTGGTCCGAAATGTCCATGTGTCGAAACGTCTGACCAAAATGTCCGTGACGAAACATATGGAACGAAACGTCCGTGGGCAGTAACGTCAGAGCCGAAATGTCTGAATATCGTCCCAAGCCCTAAAAATATTCTTGCCATCGCAACTCTGATTACCCTTCGTGGGTTTGCAGGTTCGAATCCCGTTGGGATAGTAATCGATATCTCGCCGAAGGATAACTCACGAAACCGCTGGTCGGTTACGCCTTCCCCCAACATCAAGCCCATGCATCTGTAATAAATAAATAACTAATCTTATACCCAACATGGACTGGTAACCGAACGAGAGGACCTGGTTCGCCATATAATTAAACCGTTTCTTATTAGCTTACATATCCACAGGAATAGATATTCAATTTTAAACTTTGTATAACTCTGTATATTCAATAATTTTTTATTTTAATTTTATCTATGCACAAGTTTTAATATTTTCCAATGTCAGAAAGAATCGTTTGTTGATTTATTTTAGATACATTGATTTTCAAAACTCAAATTTGATGTTATATGCCGAATTCTACCATCCCCAACATAGCTAAGACTCGTTTTGTAAAAGTACTATAAATAGCAATGAACCCCGCAGGGTGGCTCACGTAGCCGCTGATCCATTACGGCTTCCTCCGCCATTAAGAACGTAAATATGAAACAAACTATTGGCTAACTAATCCCATACCCGACATGGACTGGTAACCGGGCAAGAGGACATGGTTCATCTTGTGATTAAACCGTTTCTTATTAGCTTACATTTGCATCGGAATATATATTAATTTCAAATTTTCCAAAATATTCAATATCTGCATATTCAATAATTTTTTATTTAAATTTTATCTATGCACAAGTAGGCTTGCACGTAATTGACAAAAATCAATTCCGTAATTACGGCAAAATCAATTACGTAATGACCCCGTAATTGCGATATTTTTCCACGCATTTAAACCTATCGTAACAACCAATTGAATCCACTTTTTTCCGAATGGGACATTGAAGTTGGATTTTCCTATTCTTGGCAGTACTACACGCCGGCGGCAGATGTTAAAGACAACTATCAAGGAGTGAATTCAAATTAATTTTATTCTGATTTTTATCTTTTGTGTTAGCTTTGGTTTTACTTTATCACCTTCGCAAATTAACCGTCCCATTTTTATGCGATCAATTTTATTTTATCATTACCGACACTGGTATACGGATATTTATGGAAACGATAGTTTTTCAAAACCACTCGAGTACTGAATAAAAATTACGGGTTTCTAATTTATTAACCAACGACGAGCGTATTTTCTCATTTGATTATACTTGCGATTTCCTCGCGACGAAGACTTGTTTTTGCAGCGTTTTCTGCATTATCCGACATTACTGCCTTGTTAGCATTTTTATAATAATAATTATTGATGTCGACTTATTGACGATATTCCGATTACCATGCTTCATTTTACATTCAATCATTTCGCGAACTGAATGTTTATAACATTATTTGCGATAAATTTAGATCAAATATTATTTATTTGCGTATAATTTAAATACCGAACTTATATGACATGCCTTCTCCGAAAATACAAAGTTATATCACAAAACAATGCATTTTGTGACATTTATTTTACACTCACAACATTTATTTGCTAACTCAAGTCGGCGATCCTATAGGCCAAGATTGACAAAAGTTTGGTCGAGTGCCGGTGGTATTCAAGTCGACGATAAATCAAAATAAGTTGCCGCATTTGGTAAGACAGTTAATCATATATGGCCGAAATATTGAGAGGAATTGTGAAAAACATCATGAGCAAGGCCAAGTCCGGACTGATATATAACGATAAAACCGTTAACAGAACATCAAGATTTTGTAATAGAAAATGGATCTCGCACAGAATAAACACACAGGCTCATATTTGGTTATATATGATAGCAGTTAATTTTTCAACGGTCCGCGAGGAATCCGTCGTTTTGGTTCATTACGCAATCTCTTTTTTGTCGTCATATTGCTATTTGATAAGCGCGACATTAATTATCACGGCGAGGTATTGGCGCGAGTGATCAATCGCTCTTTTCGCTTATTTGGTTCCAATTCGTCGCGAAAGCTCTTCGTTAAATTTCACAAGATAGTCGTGTTGAAAGGTTATGGATATTTTCCTGTTTATACCCCAAGTCTGAAATGAAACAGCCAAAAACAATATGATATTCCATGTTCATATATCAAGTGTTGATATTAACAATAAAGAATGGTTAAGCATTGCTAATCCACACTTGGTGGGGAATTCCCACTATTCAAACGCGTGACTATAAAATAGAATAAAATAGAAACGGAACATATATACCATAAGTAACGGAAAACTGGAACAAGTAAATAATAAATAAAAGTGAAATGGATACAAATGTTTGATAGACCATGTTTGATAGATTGATCTCCTGCGTTCATTAGTCATTTCACCCGAAGAAGTTGAAACCGGGCGTGTTAGCGTCCATCTGTCTTAACACAATTCTTCCCCCTATCTACGGTTATTATGTACATTGGCCATGGCCATGCTAGATAAGACGCGAGAGAAGTTGAAACCAGGTGTGTTGGCGTCAATCGGTCTCAACGCAATTCTATCCCTTATCTACGGTTAAGTTGCGGGAGAAGTTAAAACCAGGTGTGTTGGCGTCAAACGGCCCTACTCAGTTCTTCCCCCATTAACTACGTTAATAATTTACATTGGCCACGCCAGATAAGTTGATAATAGGTTAGTAAACGGCAACGCGTCATGCCTTCCTTCACCTACGTAACAAGAGAGAGAAAAACGGCTGCGAATACCGGAACTCTAACTTCTTCTACTTGTTGAGCTTTCATTTTCGCAATCGACGAAATTGACTGCTTTGAAGAAAGCTCGTTTCAATGCAATAATTACGACTTTACGTAATTCGTAACTTCCCTTCCGTAACTCCAAATAATTACGTAATTCCGTAAATCCGTAAATTACGTGCAAGCCTATGCACAAGTTTTAACTTATTACAAGTTCAGAAATAATCGTTTTGTTTTTCTAGAAATTTGAATTTCAAAATCTCGTTCTGTAAAAGTATATAAGTACGGTCATCGTTGAAATTGATGATTTATAATTTTTATGACTTTCTGCAGAGTACGAATAACACTGACAAGAGCTTGTCAAACTTTCATTATTTGTAGCCCCTTTCAAAGACGCTCAACACTTGCGCCCTACTTTTCCATAAAAATATCAAGTTTTGCATTTAACACGTTTCAATAAGTTATTTTATTCGGCTTGTTTAATAATTATAAGTCAAACAAATAACATCAAATAAATAAATAAATAAAAAATCATCACAGTCAAAAAATGTAACAAATCGCAGTTGAGTGTAATCATCGCGAATGGCACCTAAATACAGAGGAATATCCGGGAATTTTGGAAGGAATGTGGGGAGTTTGAAATTTCTAATTGGCAAGTTAGACCGTAACAGCCAGCGTGGTTTTCAACAGTCTCGAGGATAATGAAAGCGTTTCAATCTAGGAAAAATTAAATGTGATGTATGGCCCCCCAAAAAATACCTTTGAAACCCTTAACCCCCTTTGTGATACGTCCTTGCCTAATTAAGGCTTTTTCTCATGGCCCCCAAATCTCTGCTCCGTGCCCCTCTAGAACTGTTAAAGGCCCAGTTTTTGAGGAACCCTTCACAAAACAGGTCATTTGATACTGATTAAAATCCTATGTTTAAATATTCTGTTAAAACGTAAATACGTAAGAGAAATGAAAAAGAGCCAATAACATTCCTAAATTTAAGTAAAATTGGATACTTGCATTAGTAATTAAATTAAAATTAGTGGAAAACCGTCGTTTAAGTACAAATGATTATATATTCCACTCAAAGTTCATTTACCGCATAATTAGCCGAAACAATTTTTCAACGGATCACCGGAACGTTTTTTTTATTAATTCTTACTCATCGTTAGCCTATTATCTACCACGTGGGTGTGCAACCTTTAAAGGAGGGCCAGATACAAATACGTGGGTGAAACCGCGGGCCGCACCGCGCTGTTCGCTTCGCACAAGCTCACTGTTATTAGGCATGTCGCTTAGATAATAAATTGGACTCAGGCTTTGTTAGGCTTTGTAACGAAAATGAAATGGAATTACTCTTACGTACCAGATTTACCTAAATTAAAAACTCTTTTCGCTGGCTGCACACTAAAATTAGCACTTCTCCGCGGGCCACACATTTTCCCCTTGTGGGCCACATTTGGCCCGCGGGCCGCAGGTTGCAAACCCCTGATCTCTGGTATTAAACTTGATTTAGCAATATTTTATTACATTTTTTCTTTATTATTTTTTGTTGACTATTTTTAATCGATTGTGAAAGTTAATTCAGATATTGATTAAAGCTGGACTCTTATTATACAGCGTGCCCATAAAATTTATCGATACCATATATTGTTTTGGCCTTCACAGATGTATTAAATAAAGTAAAAATACTTTAACAATACCTGATTAAAAAACAACAAACCTGGTTAAGATATATTGAGTACTGACGTCATAAAAAAATTGAAATTGTAAAGGACTTTATG